ACACATATATATATGTTTTCATATATGAATGTGTGTAAATCTGTATACTTGAAGTCACATGATATGTATCATTTTTCCCACTCCTATTTCTCTTCAAAATATTTTCAGTTTATTTCCATGTGATCACTTTCTTGTAACTTATTCTTTAATAAATGCATTGTATTATTCTATTTATTCATATATTTATTTTAGTGTCCCCCCCCCCATAGGTGTGTGGACTCACTAGAGAAAGACAGAGAGAAATAGAATTAGAGAAAGTGAGAAATCACCCCTAAGGGGGAAAACCATGCTGCAGTCTTCTCTCCTTCATTCTTCTCTTGGGATTTTGGGCATGTATATACACATGCCTGGCTTGATTTTCAAGCTGCTGAATCCAGAATTCAAGCTATAGTCACCCATGTGTGACTCCAGCACCTTAACCACTACACCAGCCTACTAGCCCCTGTATTCGTTTTAGATTGGTTTTTCTTTCTTGCTTGTTCTTCTTTTATTTTATATTACAACATCTAACTGTCAAGTAAAGATGTATATATTCTATATCCATCCTGAGCACATTTTAATCCTTTTGAAAACCTCTTAAGATGTGTATTTTATACCTGTTACAAAGATTAATGGCACAGAAGTCCAAGCAAAAGCAAAGGTTATTAACATGTTCAATCTGGAATTCAAAACTTGAACTCAGATCCTAAATATTCAGTTACTAGATCATAATGATAGCCATATGAGTACTATTGTTTTTGAACTACAGAAGTAAGACAGAAAATGGGCTGAAAATGTGTTGGGTTGATTTGGGAATTTTGCTTTTCATTTGTTTACTGTATTAGGATAAGCTATGTCTTTAGCTCCTCATTTTTTGTGTCAGTATAAAATTGGAATTGACTATTTAACTACTATGGTTTTAGCCTATTGTAACAAAGCTGATTATTACAAACAAAATAATGAGTCCTTGATCTCTTACTGACCTGAACAAAAATAGCATGCATAGTAAAATTTTAATGTCTTCTCATTTACTGAAAAATGTTGTGTCATTGCCCTACCTAATGTAGGCATGATACAAGATGTCCATTATAACTTTAGGTATTCTTCACTTATGAAGCTACATAGGGGAAAATAAAAAACAAACAAACCTAAAAAGGTCAGTCTGCATCAACAAATTGTCTTGTTTGGAAAAAAGACTTGGATAATCTTCTCCTGAATTTGCTTGGTTTTAATCCCATAAATTATGGGGTTAAGAGAAGGAGGTACCACCACGTAAAGATTAGCAAGGAGGATATGTATATATACGGGTATATTGTGACCCCCAAATCGGTGAGCAAGGGCGGAAAAGAAAGCCGGTGTATAGAAAAGAAGTATGACACAGACATGGGAACCACAAGTACCCAGAGCCTTCATTCGAGCATCTCGGGAAGGAATTTTAAACACAGCACAAAGTATAAATGTATAGGAGATTGTGATAAGCAGTACATCTAGGCATGTGTAAAGTAGGACCACAATTATTCCATAATAGATGTTAATCTTGATATTATCACATGCCAGCCTGGCAATGCCCATATGTTCACAATACGAGTGATGAATAATGTTCCTCCCACAATAATTAAGGCGGTAAACCAAAAAAATCAAGGGAAAGCACATGATGAAACCCCTAGTTATAGAAGCAATGCCTATTTTCCCAATAACCGAAGGCGTTAAAATGGTAATGTATCTTAGTGGATAACAGATGGCCACATAACGATCAAAGGCCATGGCCACCAATATGGCAGACTCTGTCACAAAGATGAAGTGGAGGAAAAACATCTGAGTCACACAGCTACCAAAAGAAATACCCCCAGCTTGGAACCAGAAGATCGCTAGCATCTTTGGTGTTGCAACTGTGGAGAAAAGGACATCTGCCAGGGCCAACATGGAGAGGAAAAGGTACATGGGCTCATGGAGACTGCTCTCAGTGAGGACCAGGAATAATAAGAAGGTGTTGCCTGCAACAGCCACTATGTACATGCAGCAGATGGGGATGGAGATCCACACGTGTGCATCTTCCATTCCTGGGATCCCTACCATGGTGTACCAGATGTCTCTGAGGTTGGTGTGATTTGAAGAGGTTGTCATCTTTTATTCTGACTTCTGATACTGGACTCTGGGATGGTAAAAGGAAATTTTTAAAAAGCCAGAGAGAAAAAGAGGAAGAAAGAAAATCCATGAAAAACCAGTGTTAGTTTTCACATTGAGTACAAACATTGGCATTGAAGTAAATGCGTTGTCTTAAGAAATAATCAGTTATCACTGATGATTAAAGAATAATATCTCAGATAAACTTCATTGACATAAACATTACCACAGAATTGTAGAGCTAATACTATTGGCAATAATATTGGGTCACTGGAAAAGTTATGACACATTTTTTTATATAAAAACAGAAAACTATGTCATTACTTTTCTGACATCCCAATAATTTTGATAAAACTATAATAATACAAATGGGTTCAAAATATGGGTTAGGCCCTGTGTTCAGTGCTTTATACTTACTGACTATAAACCAGGAATGTTTTTCATAGACCATTAGATAATGAAGTTTTCTTCCTTGTCTTACTGGTCAGTTCTGGTGATTCATCAAATTCCTCTTTCCTGAAACTCCAAAAATATAATAGCCAGAATACTATTGTGCTCTTTTAGGCAGCTCAAGATAATCGAATCAGTAAAAATAATTATCCTTGCAACACTCTTTTTTTAGAGAGAGATTTTTGCTATAGGGAAAATGCTCTCACTTGAGAGACACACAGAAAGACAGAGAGAGAAAGAGAGACATGAAGCGAGAAACCACTTCCCAGGAGGAATGGCCATGCCACAATCCCTTCTCCTCCATTCTTCTCTTAGGACTTTGAGTATGTACACACACACACCTGACATGTGTTTTAAGTCTCCAGGTCTGGGATTTGATCTACCTTCGACTATGTGAGAGTCCAACAATGTAACCATTATGCCATCTGCTAGTCCCTATCCCTGAAATTTAATATAAATCTTTCATAATGATGTTTCCTTTTCTCTTTCTTTAGTGATATATCAGGGAGAAATGGAAATAGAATATTAACAGTCCTTTCTTTCACCATGCTGCAGTAAATTAACATTATGTATCCATATTGGAATGATTTATTTGTATGTGCATGATTGCAAGATTCATGTCATTTCAGATAACCCAGCACTATAGAGTGTGCACTTTTGTTGCATTAGTCTAACTCTACAGACATTGTCCTCTGGTCTTCCACACATAGTACATTCATATACCCAGGTCCTCCCAACTACCTTGCTGTTTTCTCCCATTTGTTTCTTCTAGTTTATATTGTATATTAGTCTTTTCCAGCCCTTTACATTTCTTTTTGTGCAGGAACTTGAAAATATTATTAGAGAAAGGAAAGACAGCTCATAAAAAAAATAAGAAAGGAAATGAATTCTAAACACAGGAAAGAAGTTAATGAATATTTCTTTAAGTTCATTCTCTGACTGCTATATATTAAAGAAGAAATTAAGTATAAACCATAAATATCCTCTATCTCATGCATCTCATACTCTTTTGAGGATCCTGAAACATGAAAACAAATAACCATCCCTGAGAGCAGATGAGAATAATGAGATATTTAATCACATAGGTATCACCACACAGAATAGAAATTGCCTATAACTAGGTAGATGGGTCAAAGAACCTTAGAGGTGTTGTCATTAAATCTGTTGATCAGAAGAACTTTAGGTTTTCAAGAGACTAACATTAGGAAGAATAAGCAATACAAATTGAATTACCATATCAGGAATGTAAATCTCAGTACACTTCATGTCAGCTAACTGACTGAGGGCTTACAGATGTGAGAAATATGCTTAGATAGATTGTGCCTTGAAGAATCAGAGATTTTAAATTTAGTCTAACAGTTTTAGGTTTAAATTTCTATACTGTGAATATATTTATAAGGTGAATAATACTCACTATTAAAAAATATTGGGCCAGCCAGGTGGCATGGTGGTTAAAGTGACTGAATCTCATGTGACCAGCTGTGTGATTCAAGTCCTGGGGGACTTGAAAATACACCAGACATGTATGTGTGCATGCCCAAGATCTTAGAGAAGAATGGAAATGCAATTGCAATGTGGTCATCTCCCCATGGAGATGATGAGATGATTTCTCACTTTCTTCCCTCTCTCTCTCTCTCTCCCCCCGCTCCCTCTGTCTCAGGAGTGTATAAGTCCTATAGCAAACTTTAAAAAGAAAGAAAAATTTACTGACTTCCCAATATTTGTTGAAATTTTAAGGAACATAAAATATGATCAAAATTTAAGCTTTTCCTTTCTAAGAAATCTTTGCTGATGATCAGTATTTCTGTTTCACAATGGCACACCTATATGATTTCTTATTATAGATTTTGTATTATTCTTTATCAATAAACTTAAGTTTCATGATGGCTATGAGTACAATTGTAGTATCTAGCTTAATAGAAAATAGTTGAGTAAATAGGGATTAAGAGGTAGCAAGTAGCTCAGTCTAGTGATGCAGGCAGTTGCAAACTGAACTGTAGTGATGAAAACTGCATGGTCGCTTGTGTGTTTAGAGCCCCAAGATGGCCTTAGAAACTTGTCATGCATGTCCACAAGTGCTCAAGATCTTGATGACTTAGAGGGCTGTGAAAGGGGGATTGCGGCATGGCAAAAGTGTGTCTCTCTCAGTCTCTCTCTTTCTGTCTCTATCTCTCTCGTGTGAACACACTTTCTCATAAATAAAATAAATAAAACATTTTTAAAAAGGAAGCAAGAGCTATCAAAGAGGAGGAAGACAACTAACTGGAGAGGCTCTAACAAGTTCTTATAACAGACTAGAGTAGAACCAGAAGTGTCATCTTAGCAGAGAAAATTGTACAGCGCTATGTGCTTAAATAAATAAATAAGAGAACTTGGGGATGAGTTAATTGAGGATGAATGAAAGACAGTAAAATATTTTCCTGTACAGTGTCAAATACAATAATGATGCCAGTAACCAATGTAAGGAATAGACTAGAAAATGCAAATTTCAGACTCAGTAAATGCAATTGTTTTTAAATTATTAGTACATCAAATATATTTGAAGAAATTAAAGAAAACTACATGTTAGATTATCTCAAAGCTGCATAGTGTAGTGCGAAAATAGTTGTACAAGATTTGAGACTTGTGGCTGGAAGGTGGCATGATGGTTGGAGTGCTGGACTCCCACATGGCTGACTGCGGTTAGAGTCCAGGACCAAGTGGTTTGCTTTCTTTCTCTCACTCTCTGTGTCTCTCTCTGGTCAAGCTGAAGGACAACAATAATAAATAAAGTTAAAAGGATAATTATTTTTTAAAAGAATTATTTAATTTTATTTATTCATTCATTTATTTTAATTTGTCCAGCGAGATACCCAGAGGGAGAGAAAGAGAAAGAGAGGAAGCTAGAAAGCAAGCCACTAGGGACCAGCCGTTAGGCT